TGTTGGACATCGTGGATATTAGCAATGGAATCTGGGACCAGCCACCTCTACAGTAGCAGGCAGAACTGTTTGGTCTGTGACCTTTGCATGTTCCTTGTTCTAGAACAGCTGTCTGATTAAGTAAGAGCAAATCTGAAGTCTGCCAGGGACACAGACTGAGGGTGCTCAGCTGAATCCACCGAGCCACTGATAGTGGACTCAAGGAAAGAGGGTCTCAAAAGCCTGTCATGGAGGCTTCCACTGAAAAATATATCTGCAGTTTGAGCTTTGAGGGGTCTCCAGGACCATCTGGTGAATCAGCCTAAAGCTTGGCAGGCCAGGTCCAGGGAAGGTGGCTGTGGTTTGATAACTGCACTATAATGGGGTCCACTTCTTGTGCTCAGGGCGGTCTCAGGTCCAAGTCCAAACTCAGACACGTTTTGGGGTCTGACCGGTTTCTGCTCCTGTGAAGCCGCTGAGTCATTCAGTCAAGGCTGTGTTGGCTGGGAAGGGATTCCCTGGGGTGGGATGCACTAGAGGGGTGAAGGATGATGGGAGGGGAAATAAAAATGACTCATCTGTTGTGGCAGATCAGTAGGAGAAAGAAAGCTGGAGGGTCCCCAGACTGATGCTGGTTGCTCCCTCTGGGCAACTGGAGCTGCCTGACTAGGCCTCTCTTTGAAGGAGTTCCAAAGCACTGGCCATAGCTGTGACATGGCCTACCTTTTGTCTCTTGATCTGTCTCCAGTCACTATCACTCATGTCCTGGTTTTCCCCATTCTGAGCACCGCTGTAGCTGGTGTTTATCCTAGAGTTTGATCCAGCTGGCCCAGATTTATCCACTAGCTGCACTCCCTGCCCCATGGCTGCCCTTGAATTGGAGAGCTTGCTTGCTTTGGGTCAGAATACCTGGACCTGGGTTTTCTTGCTTCAACTTCAAGATGCAAAAGGGCCATTTCTCACTCCCTTCTTTAACAGCAACCTAAGCAAGGAATATGCTGTTTTTTCTAGGTTTTTATAATTCTTTTTTGTAATTTAATGTAGCCAATACAGAAAGGAATCGGCTAGGTTTTCTCACTGATCATGGATGTTACTAGTACTGTAGACTCGGATCAACACTTCACTCTGGAGAACACCAATGTTTTGGAATTGTATGTTGCTGCTCATGTGATTTGTACTCCGGGGATTAAACATGTAGCTGAAACAGATGGCCTCTTGGGTGTTGTGAATGGGAGAGATACCACATTGTGGCTGCCTCTAGAGGCTCAACCTGTCATATTTCTGATTAAACCTGATGCATTTGTTCGTTTGTCTGAATGTGTCAGTTTTGTGTGTGAACTGAAAATGTTCTGCATGTCTTGCACTTACCTTAGTAAGAATACAGAAAAAGCAAAAGGGGAGGAGGTTTTCTGTACATGATATACATTATGGAAAGACTTTGGGAGGTGCCCAGTGCCCCCTGGCCCCAGTGACTGAGGTGGGAGCTGCTGCAAACCTCTTAAAACATGACCAATAAACTTAAATGTTCACTTGACCTGACTGGAGGAGCCAACCACAGACACGCACCACATCTCTACTCTGCAACTGTACTGCTTTGTGCTTTCAAAGCTGATTAAAGTACCCATGTGATCTCCCAGGAGTGGTGTTTGGCTAGTAATTCACGGTACTAAGGAATTACAGCTGATTCAAGAGAACTTTGAATGGGAGCCATTAATAGTGTGGCAATGACTCCTCTGTGCTGATATTTCTACCACCACTAAGGAGACAGTCCATGAAACAACACCCACCCCCTACCCCCACCTTGCATTTAGGGGAAGCAGAATGGGAATTATGATCCATCCCCCACTGGGGTGATGGGCAAAGGTGGCAGATGATCAGTGAATGCAGGCAGAGCTCTTAGAGAACAGAACATGAAAAACCAAAGGCATGTGAAATAGGCTTGTTCCTTTGTGGTGACAATTGTCATTGACTAATGTGCATGTGAGAGCAGACTGACAGTTTCCATGTCTAGCTATTCATCCCCCAAAGTTTTAGGGAAAAAAAAATCATAGAAAATTAGGGTTGGAAGGGACCTCAGGAGGTCATCTACTTCAGCCCCCTGCTCAGAGCAGGACCATCCCCAACTAGATCATCCCAGCCAAAGTTTTATCTAGCCAGGTCTTGAAAACCTCCAAGGATGGAAATTCCACCATCTCTCTGGGTAACCTGTTCCAGTGTTTTACTACCCTCCTAGTGAGAAAATTCTTCCTAATATCTAACCTAAACTTCCCTTGCTGCAACTTCAGACCATTGCTCTTTGTTTTATCATCTGCCACCAGTGAAAACAGTCTAGCTCCATCCTCTTTGGAATCCCCCTTAAGGTAGCTGAAGGTTGCTATTAAATCCCCTCTCAGTCTCCTGTTCTCTACACTAAAAAAGCCCAGTTTCCTCAGCCTCTCCTAAGTCATGTCCCCCAGCCTCCTCACCATTGTTGTTGCCTTCCACTGGACTTTCCAATTTGTCTACATCCTTTCTGTAGTGGGGGGCCCAACACTGAACACAGTACTCCAGATGTGGCCTCACCAGTGCCAAATAGAGGGGAAGAATCACTTCCCTTGACGTGCTGGCAATACGCCTACCAATGCAGCCCAATATGCTGTTAGCCTTCTTGGCAAAAAGGGCACACTGCTGGCTCATATTCAGCTTCTTGTCCACTGTAACCCCCAGGTCCTTTTCTGCAGAGCTGCTGCCCAGCCAGTCAGTCCCCAGGCTGTACCTGTATATGGGATTGCTCTGTCCTAAGTGCAAGACTTTCCACTTGTCCTTTTCGAACCTCATGAGCTTCCTTTTAGCCCAATCCTCCAATTTGTCTAGGTCACTCTGAATCCTAGCCCCACCCTCCAGCACATCTGCTACTCCCCAACCCCCAAGCTTGGTGTCATCTGCAAACTTGCTGAGGGTGCACTCTACGCCATCTTCCAGAATGTAGATGAAGATATTGAACAAAACTAGCCCCAGGACTGACCCCTGGAGTAGTACACTTGATACTGGCAGCCAACTAGACATTGAGCTATTGATTACTACCCTCTGAGCCTGATGTTCCAGCCAGTTTTCTATCCACCTTACAGTCCATTCATCCAACCTATACTTCCTTAGCTTTCCTTTGAGAATATTGTGGAAGACTGCATCAAAAGCCTTACTACAATCAAGGTATATCACATCCACCAGTCTCCCTGCATCCACAGAGCCAGTCATTTCATTATAGAAGGCAATCAGGTTGGTCAGGCATAACTTTCCCCTGGTGAATCCATGCTGACTGTTCCTAATCACCATTTTCTCCTCCAACTGCTTAGGAATGGATTCCTTGAGGAGGACCTCCCCCATGATTTTTCCAGGCCCTGAGATGATGCTGACTGGTTTGTAGTTCCCTGGATCCTCTTTTTCCCTCTTAAATATGGGCACTATGTTTGCCCCTTTCCAGTCATCTGGGACCTCTCCTGATTGCCATGAGTTTTCAAAGATGATGGCCAGTGGCTCTGCAATCACATCAGCCCACTCAGCACCCTTGGGTGCATCCCATCCTGCCCCATGGACTTATACATGTCCAGCTTTTCTAAATAGTCCCTTACCTGTTCTTTCACCATTGAGGGCTGCTCACCTCATCCCTCAGTGTTGAAGTGGGATGCTGCGATTGCAGAGCCACAGGCCATCATCTTTGAAAACTCATGGCAATCAGGAAAGGTCCAAGATGATTAGAAAGGGGCAAACATAGTGCCCATATTTAAGAAAGGGAAAAAGGAGGATCCAGGGAACTACAGACCAGTCAGTCTCATCTCAGTCCCTGGAAAAATCATGGAGAAGAACCTCAAGGAATCCATTCCTAAGCACCTGGAGGAGAAAATGGTGATTAGGAACAGTCAGGGTGGAACAGTCAGGATTCACCAGGGGAAAGTCATGCCTGACCAACCTGATTACCTTCTTCGATGAGGTGACTGGCTCTGTGGAACCGGGGAGACTGGTGGATGTGATATATCTTGATTTTAGCAAGGCTTTTGGTACTTTTTCCTACAACATTCTCACAGGCAAGCTAAGGAAGTATAGGTTGGATAAATGGACTGTAAGGGGGATAGAAAACTGGCTGGAGCAGCAGGCTCAGAGGGTAGTAATCAATGGCTCAATGTCTAGTTGGCAGCCTGTATTAAGTGGAGTGCCGCAGGGGTTGGTCCTGGGGCTGGTTTTGTTCAATGTCTTCATCAATGACCTGGAAGATGGCATAGAGTGCACTCTTGGCAAGTTTGCAGATGGCACCAAGTTGAGGGGAGTAGTAGAGACACTGGAGGGTAGGGCTACGATTCAGAGTCAATAAGATTCAGAGTCAATTCAGAGTAGATTTTGTCTCAATATGCAGCTTGCATGGACTGCTAGCCTTCCCTAGCAGTAGTCTTCACTCCTTATCAGCAAAGGGGTGTGTGGTAGTCGAGGGCAAGAGCTCCGTGCACTCTATGCCAAAGCCCAGCTCTGCTGCTGGTACCTCTCCTTAGTCCCCTTCCCCTCTCTTCCATCACATATATGCACACAAGCAACATGTGCCTCCCATGCTTTTTCTCTTCTGCCTCTACCCAGCCAGGCAGGCACTTCCATGGAGATAAACCACTCCAGTACGAAGAAGTCTTTTCTATCTGCTCTACTTCTTTCTTGGCAAAGCTGACTCTACAAAGAGCACAAGGACCAAGTTTCTGCACCTTGTTTCCTAATGAGTGCTACTGCACTACACTGGTTCCTGGGAGATGAGCTCTTCTCTACATTGGGTAAGTATATAGGCTTCAAATTCCTCTTGCTAAAATGAAGCATCTGCTTTCTCTCAGAAGGGGAAGGCACTGAATTGCTGAGTTTCCTTTCTCCCTCGGGCTGGGCTGTGCACAGCTTCTGCTTGGCATCCTGGCTGAACTCTAAGGGCATTTGCTACTGAGCTTTGCTAAGTGAAGGTCGAATTTTACTTTTCTTCACCTTGTGCCAAGGGCCCTTCTGAAAGGAAAACACACTTGTGCAAAATGAATATTTTACTGGACATTGTTTCCTCTACATATACCAAAATGATAGCAGCTCCCCTCAGTCCAAGCGAGAGACTTTAGGAATGTGTGAGTCCATGTGCTCAGCTCTCTTTTACAACACTGCTTTTTGGCTCTGTGGCTCTGCTCAGATTCCCCGCTTCCTTCTTCAGGACATTTAGCAGTGTCTGGGAACTTTCCAGGATCTAAGGGGGAAAGAAACAGAAGTTACTTACCTCCTACACAAACTCTCTTATCACAGACTGCTTCTGAATTAACCATTCAACTGATTCCTTTATGGTCAAGAGGAATTTTCCACCACTGCAGTCTTTAAAACTTCTGGGAAGTGCAAGCTAGTGGTTTGATGCTAGAATTGTTAGGGGAGGGTTATCTGGCCTATGTTTTGGAGGAAGTCAAATGGAATGATTGCAAAGGCCATTTATTAATATTCATAGATGTTAAGGCTTGGAGAGACCATTGTGGCTTCCTACAGCATACAGGCTGGAGAACCTCCCTCTGTGACTCCTGCATCAAACCAGTAACAAGGGGATGAACAGGAGGGTTTTTAGAAAGATGCACAAATCCTTGATTTAACGATGCCAAGTGATAAAATCTGTCACATCCCATTGTCAGCTGCTAAGTACTCTCACTGGTAAAAAAGGTGTACCAGGCTTTTGGATTGTGTTCTGCCTTGCCTGCTCCAGTGAAGGGCACTCTACTAAACCTTTTCCCTAGCCAGATACTTTGTCTCAAGTTCTCTCTCACTTTTCTCTTTATTATGAGTGCCTTAGTCTTTTGCAAGCTAGGATTTCCAGAGCTTGGCTCATTCTTGTAACTCTCTTCTGATGACTTTCCTATATGTGGACATTTTTTTCTTGGTACGGAGAAGGCAATACTCAGTAATTGTCTCATTGACGCTGTATACAAAGGCAATATCATCTCTACCTTAACTCAGCATTCACAGGAATATATAGCTACGGCTTGCATTATACCTGTTAGCCACAGCACCATTCCAGTACATTCAGCCAGTTCCCACCATAGCCAACAGGGCTGTGCAAAGCTTCAGGTGGTGATTCGATTCAGAGGAGATTCAGCCAGATTCAATGGCCCAATCACTGAATCGAAACAGGGGACCAATTAAAATTAAAGGTCTGAATCAATTCAAAGCTCTCTGAATCTCCGTGGAAGAGCCCCCCACGTGGCATAAGGCAGGGGGGATTGCCCCCGCAGGTAGGAACAGAGAGTCTGGGGTTTTTCTCATTTTTTTTTTTTTAAAGAGCTGGAACCACAGCGGGCAGGGCAGCCATGGGGGAGCAGGAGGGAGTCAGAGGGTTCGTGCAGAGCACCCCATGGGACAGTGGGGAGCAGTGGGGATTGCTCCCCCAACTGGTAGCACCTGCTGAGTTGGGGCTTTTTTTTTCAAAATGCTGGGAGCTGGGGTGGCCTGAGAGAGAGCGGACGGGGGATGGGCCTGGGCCATTCGGAGATCTGACAGGAGCCGAATCTCTGAATCAGTTTCAGGCAAATCGATTTGGGATAGTGATTCAAATCACCAAATCGAAACACTGTCCCCTGAACTGGCCAAATCCGAAGTGAATGCTAGCCACTTCACACAGGCCTAATGGCCAATAATGCCCTTTCATGGCTTGCCAGTGTGAGCTGTTTTTTAATTTCTACATAGATAAACTTGTATCTGGCAGCTGCATGGGTCTTGCCAGAGTAGCAGTACCTGCTTGACCCACTTTCTGCAGGCACTATCCTCTCTGCCCCACAACCCACACATCTGGAAAGGGAAATGTCTCCTTGCCCTGCTACGTAGTTTTTTTTCCAGGCTCCATTCATTACACTCATACACTAAGTACTAAGGGACTACAGCACCGTTCACACACAATCTACATGATTGTGCCCTGACAACTGCAGGTGCCATGAGCTTTTCACACCCTTCCAGTCTTCCCATAACTCAAACATAGCAACACTGGAGAAACAATGCAAGGCAGGACTTCTGCCATGACAACCCTACAGCCTTAACTCTGAAGGATCCCCTGGAGAGAACACAAAGCTTACCCCTCCCCCTAAGCTGTTTGTCCCTTGTGATCTAGGACAGCAGTTCTCAACCTTTTTTGGACAAGGACCCATTTGTAAACATCAATGGCCAGGGCCAACCTACTGGCCCCCACCCCCAGGTCCCCAGTATGTGGGGCATGGGGGGGCCCCCAAGTAGCCCCTTGGAAGCTGGAATTCTGCCAGCCTGCAAGGGAAAATTCTCAGTTTTCCACGTTTTTCTCTTCTAAAAGAGAATCCATTTTTTAAGTTTGTTGATCAATTTTTAAAGTTTGTTTGCAACCCTTTTATATAT